ACCACTCAACCCATGACTCTGGGGCCATGCCAGAACTTAGCTAGACGCAGCAGCGTACACGTCAGAGACACGGCGTCGGGAAGACCAAATTTTCCACTTTACCAACTACATGCCGAACCCAAGACGCTCGATGGTACCGGGCTTGTTTGTCGGACAGGACGAACTCCTGCTCCCAGGTCTCCGTCGCAAACGGAGTCACGATCGCGTTGTGATCGTTGATCTTGGTCTTGGCAGCGGTGTCCAGCCTCCTCGCCGTCAATAGCACGATGTCGTGCATGAATCCCAACACCGACTTTGACCTCGTCTGCATCAAGTACGAGGGGGGGGCGGAGGGCAGTGTGATTAGTTTCTTGTCTCAACGGCATAGCGAAACGGAAACAGCACATACACATACGGCAGCAGGCTAGGGGGTACGTCCGACACCAGTCGTGCTTAGGACCGCTTCCGATCCAAGGCGTTCGACGTACAACTATCATGGAATTCCCTGGTGTACGCAACAAAAGAAGGTTCACTACCCTTGATTCTATTCTACGAGGGCATAAAAAACGAAAGGAGAGAACGCCAACGTGAAATGATAGGAGGGAATGCCAATGTCAACAAAAGCTTCCGGTCGTATCACATGCAAGGGACAGCTATCAAGTATTTTCGACAAACACCAACGCCATATGCACCTCTTCCCCGATGAGCTTGTTGAGCGACTCGGAAAAGTTGGACGTCGTCTGGTCCCAGATAACGTTGTTCTTGCAAGCGTAGTTCGCCCATGTGTTGTGCGGGGTGTCGTTGAGCTTCTTGAATGCCGCCGGGTTCAAGTTTTGCACCTCGTTCATGTGGTGGTCGAAGAGAGCCTTGGTTGCCGCCTTCGCCGCCTTGTACACGTAGTATCTCCCGTTCTGCGAAAGATATGTACATCCGGAAAGAGCCGAGCATGCCACGGGAGGTTCGGGTACATTAAGGACGAGTGCAGACCGACGATAACATAGTAGTGAGCCGTACACTTAAGATGGAGGAGAGGTGTCGGTTGATGTACGTCAACGCTCGGGACAAAATCATGCACGTGCCGCACCCGCACGAATAATGACTAAGTCGAGCAGCCCGTACAGCCTAAACGAATAATCCCGTGGAATGATCAAGCACGTTGCCAGATTACTACAAGCACAAGCACAGAGAAAGAAACCATTGCGAACGCCCCAGATGAGTGATGTAGATATCCCAAACCACCAGTTAGAACTTCCAACACCCGTCCGGCAACAAATGCAAACCACTTTCTTCGGGGAATTCTTGGGCACATGATGCTGACCGAAAACAAATCATTT